GTTTTCGGTCTTATTTTCTAACTACTGGCTGCGGGAGCGCAGCATATATGTTTATGCAGCCATATACACCCACATTTTTTCATGTTTGCGGTCGTTCATTCATAAAAGACTTCCGGTTTTATCATTTTTCATCTATCGCAATGCAGCACTTATATACGTTCACACATCAAATTATGTTCTCTTATTTAAACGCATTATGAGCAATTGTTAAGTTAGATATTCCGTAAAGTAACATTTGATAATTGTTTATTGCGGAAAATAGGACCTCAGAATTTTATGTTGTATTGTATTAGAATTTTCGCGCTACAGACTGGTGGAATGCTACCGAATGTGACTACCGCTGATATACCTACCGGTCGTACGGAATACGTCTGTGGGACCGGGTGTGGGCAAAGTAAACCGCCCATGATCCGTAGCCTATCTGGGTCTGTTCGCATTCGCAAGTAATTCCGGAAATCTCTAGTTAGCAAGTGTCGAATCCCATTCATTTATGTGCAACTGTCAGCTAGGACTGGTTATCATCATCATCATCATCATCATCATCATTACACGTTAGCTGGAGGTGGAAAACACCTCAGCTATTGTGCCGCAATACAAAAGGCAAGAAAAGAAAAAACAAACAAACTGGCACGCCCGCTGAGTCCCCAGTAACGGATGGACATCGTTCCGGAGAGCTAACAGCTGGCTGCCGTAAAAGAAAGCCATATTATGCCTAACGATTGAGATCGTGATTGGAGGGGGATGCTAAACAGGAGGGGGATGGACAAAGGAACTCACAACACAAACGCCATTGGGGCCGGCTCCTAGCCATATCAGCAAGTGTGTCCAGCCAAACGTGTTCACCGTCCTTAGGACCCCAACCAGGCAGTCGGGATGCACCAACCGACGCCAACTTCGAAGTGAGGGTTTTCATTTCTCGCGACCAAGTCATCACTTGGCCTCCCCTCCTCCTCTTCCAACCGCACCCACAACGCGCAAACAATGCACGTCGTGGGAGTCGGTGTGCTGGCATGCGCAAGACGTGGCCCAGCCATCGGAGCCTGGTGCGTGATATAATCGTGCTGAGCGGTTCACTCGCTCTTCCTGCACCAAATACGCGACGTCGAACACGCTCATTGCTCACGCGGTGTTCCCACCAGACATGAGCTAAGCTGCGAAGGCAGCGATGATCGAACGTGACGAGTCTCTTCAAGTCTGTCGACCTGATGGGCCAGGTTTCACAGCCATATAGGAGGGTTGAACGGACGGTTGCGTTGTAAACTCTGCCCTTGAGGGCGAGAGTAATGTCGCGTCTGCGCCACAGGTGGCGGAGATTGGCAGGACTGGTTATCACCAACATATGAATTCAAAGTGGGGAACAGCGGCATCGAAACTCCACTTTAGATGAGTTTCCGAAGACCAGAATGGCAAGTAAGCCTAGGCGAAAGTAGAGAGTACTTGACGCAATCCATCTTCATAGCAGATGCTAAAATATCTAACCACAAAAGTGGCAGATATTCATTCAGCTGAGATTAAAATGACATCAGGTACTATCCTACTACATGTTGGATGGTGAAATCGAAGCAAGTATTTAGAAAGACACCGGCGATTGTTCAGGTCGTCTCAGATATCCATTTGCAGTGAGCAAACCTAAGGTTCCCTTGTCATAATGGTAAGCGTCATAGTATGGGTTGAGGTTTGAACATGTGTACATGAACTAATCTACTGCGCTACAGAAAACAAAGCCTCTAGGCACCGATGTTGATAATAACAAAGAAGCCAGACCTTTCAGTGATCATGGCAAATATAGCAAACACATATTGGTCCGGTCGGGCGAATGACCGGTGCGGGTTACATGCCAGCTGTAGTAAGGAAAATGATTAACGACAGCACCTACAACGTGTGTGACTGAGAGTCAAGCGAATCTGATAACGCACGAATACTCGTGTGAAATTTATTAGAAACGTAGTAGTACACATTGACCAACTGAAGGTATGAAGCCGGGAACTCCCATCACAGGTAAAAGTAGTGCAACAACGGTTGCTAACATTGCGTTACTAAGATTCTGAAAAGGCTTTCTAGCTCAAATATGTATGTTTGTTATACTCATACATAGGGGATTTTCGCTGTAATTACTATGGAGTTCTTCTCAGCAGCTTCCAATTTGGATAGTCCTCCACAGACCTGAACAGTTTCTAAATGCTATGTCATACATACAAAGTAAGTCTGAAGAGTTCGGTGAATGGTCGCATATGTTGAAAGTCGCTCTGCTTAGGATGACTGGCCAGGGCATGCGCATTGAGAGACCCCTCAACAAACCCCCTGTCATGCAAATCACTGAAATGAAATAGTGGTGTACGCTGCGACCAAGCTAACGGGATCAGTGTCAGAACCCACGTCACTGCAAAATGCAGCAACGGGTTTACATGATTTTTGCTTCGAAGCAGAAGAAGCAGCGACGGAGACGCAAGCAACTTTAGTACAATTGTTCGGTGTTGAACCAGTGAATAAAACTGTGTGTTTGGGCTGTTTAAACACCCTAGATACGGAAAGGAAGGAGCTGAGGATAACCCGCCTTCGGGTCGACCGTCAACAAGCATAATCCCGGAAACCATCGAACAATGGTCGGCAGCTATCTTTGAGAATAATAGCAGAAGAGTTTAAAATAAGCGAAGACAATGTAAGCATTATCACTCACCGACATACAAGGCGGTAGCTGTACACCGGTTATACCGTACACGGTGATAGACCAGAAGAAGCAAACTTGAATGGAAAAGCCTAACGAGTTCATCGACATGACTGACCAGAATGCGCAGTTCTTGGAAATCATTATTGCAGGAGATGAGATCTGGTGCTACCCATACAATATGGAGACTAACCGACATTCAATGGCATGGTTGTCATCGTTTCCCCCGCCTCCTAAAATGTCGGCCGACAAAATCCAAGATTTAGACAATGTTGGTCGCCCTTTTGGACTGCGAACGATTGATCTATCATGAAGTTCTTTCCGAGCGTCAAACTGTCAAAGCAATAGTTTACGAGGGAATTTTGCAACGGCTGCTGCAGCGTATCCGGTGGATTCGTCCAGACATGCACCGGAGTAAACAATAGAATTTCCTCCACGACAACGCCTGTCCACACACTGTTATCCAAGTGATCAACTTGCTCACTCAACGCAGTGTGACAGTTGTTTAACACACTACTTATTTTCCAGACTTAGCGGCAGTAGGTTTCTTTTTGCCTCGTCTTAAATTAACCTTGAAGGAGTTACAAACATTGATGTTATCCATTAACGAGTAACCACAGCGAATCCACAAGAAGCGTTTGCTGACAGATTACAACAGGCTTACAACCAGTCAGAAGTGCGTTGTAGCTAATGGGGATATTTTGAAGGCCAGTAAAGGTACTTTGTTTGTAACTCTTAGTTCTTTTGTTTTCTGAGATCTTTCACCGAATTTTTCGGACGTCCTTTGTGACTACCGTTTGTGGAAGCCGTGTCTTTTGTGGCAAACCCCATCCTCTGTAACGTTCGTAAGTTGCATGGCAAAGGAGGATAAGACGCGCTTTATCGCAGTTTGCTTTTAAATCATGACGGTCCGAAGCTGTCCCTCATGATTCAGTGATGTAAGTTGCTGTTTGGCGATTCAAGTCGCTAGTAGGCATGAGTTCGGATATTGTTGGGGCCGATGAATGCGCACCACTGACGAGACCCCAACAGGTCAAAACATTAGTGCGTTTGCGCGCATATGGAGGACTATCTGCTTGGAAAGCTACTGCGATAAAATCGCAAACAAGTACATATAGTTGTGTTTCGTGAGGGAAACTCGCTTTCAACTCCGTAGATCTGACCCTGAGAAAAAGTCTACGGTGTTCACCGAATGGTATTGTTACGCACTACAGAAACGGCTCTATTCAAGCTCAATCCGCACCGGAACCTCACGTCAACCAGGCTAATGTGGGATATTAAACGGCACAGGCTGATGTGAGCACTTTACAAGCTCTAATAACGAGGCTCACTAGGTGTGGGTTTCTCACCGGAAAACCACCGTAAAGTATGAACCCACCTACAGCCAGAGGCATACAGGTTAAAGTAGATTCCCTTCTAAAACGTTTATTCTCCCCCTTCAATTAAACTGACGCAATTAAAAGTGCACATCGCATAAATCAAATGACATCTAAGGCCTCTACAACATCTCGTCAACGGTTACAAAATCTGTATTTTTTTTACTCAGAATCTTCATGATAACTATATGCGCATCGTTGCTAACCAGCTGAATTCCCTCTACAGGGATCATTGTGCTGTTTCTCTTCAAGAACCAAGTGCTGCTTCCCCTCAGTAAGCATTTACCTGAATAAACTGTTGCAGCTTAGTGGGAATGTTGACAAATTTGTGTGGTTGCTAAAGTCAGTCCTCAGATAGTAGCCAAATCAAATAGTTTGTAGAGTTACTTAGCAACCAGATGTCTGCGTGATGGGCCTTAAAGTGTGTTACACGAAGCATGGCAAACGCGTTTACAAAGCGGCTCATGTGCAGCGCAGAATGCGTGGACGCCGCGCTCTAGAATTGGGATAATTTCAAGTGTACATAACAACTGTCAACATCGTTACTGAATGATTTACTTTTAAAATGAACTGAGGATAAATCCGACGCAGTGTTATCTCCTAGCTACCGAGTTGCATTTCGTTCTTAATTCTTCTTGACCAAATCAGTAATAGAATAGGACTTTATGGGTAGCAAGTTCAATTCTTCTGGTCTATTCTTGCAGGTTGTATGAGCATTTTTACTACGCCAGTTTAGACGTGGCTTCTGTTCGACAGCCAACATGCATTCATCGCATTCGGAAGCAGCATTGAGGCAAACTGTCAGCCAGTGGAGTCGCATCGCATTCACACGAAAATACTTCAGATGATAGGGCGTCGCATTCTTATCTTATCAGGCACAATTATGATAACCATCGCAAAACAAAATAAGTTTAAAACATGCTGCGTGCAGCTTGCATTTAGTCAGTGGCGAGACGTACCGGATCTCCTACTTTTCGAGCGTAAATCGTCAATTTGTAAGCGCCTGCTTTCGGGAAACGGAAGCTGAATGTGACCACATTTTCCGGTTTTGAAATCTCGTGCATTCCAAATCGAGACAGGTTGACACCCTGTAAGGGAAACCGGAGAATCTCAAACCAGAAGCCGGTAGGAGATACATGCGACAAAATCATCATGTTCGGTGTGCTGTCTTCACCACGGATTCCGTTACCACACACACTTCAAACGTACCTCATCGAGCTGATGGTGCCAGTGTAACTGTAAACATGTATGCAGTTTTAGTAACTAGCTGTTCAAGAGCAAAATTAAAGTGTATTTAAGTGTTTACACGGGCATGGTACACTGCACAGGAACACAATTTCCTGCTACCGACATGAACATTAGTGAAGCAGTTACAATGCTTGTTAAAATCGGCAGTAACCATAGGGCGCTGCACACAAGGTTGGTTACATAACGTTGGAGTACGTTTCAGCCAGTTTGCTGAAAACGTAGAAAAGTTTTCCATAGCTCGGCTAGATGGTCGACCTACTGCACATGAGGTGCGAACTACTATTCCATGGGACCTGAAGTAAACCTACAGTTCAAGAGTTTTGTGCACCAACTGGGTCGATGATTTTCACTTACGCCTTAAACCACAGTACATTTCACTATTAAAAGTCACCTAGCTGTTATCAGTACAACTGCAACCAAGAATTGCGTGGAGTCCCTGCGCGGATCCCCAGTGTACGGAACACTCCGCGCCAAATGTGCGCCTTCCAGACATTGTACATCAGCCTTAGAGCCGTGGGATAAGCCATAGGGGCCGATGCGGAGGCGTTGAAGGCTGGAGTCAAACGGAACATTAGATGGAATGCGTAGCACGTGTGTGACGAGCAAGCGGTGCCTATCAGGACCGGTGGGACTAAGGCACAGGACTCCAAATGGCTTAGAACTGATCCGAAGAACAATAGAAATAGAGTTCAGTACATACTTATCTAAAATGTGGTTCTGAACACACTGTGAATGGAGATGCACGAAGATTGAGAGCAAACCGGAAGACAACCACCGATCGCGGAAAGTGGAGAAACTATCAAACGATCACACGGGTGTGAGGGGAAGGAAAGTGCTGATTCCGATCCCCTTCCCTAGAGCACCGCCGGAAACATGGTTCCCTCGAAGACACTTGAATCCACGGGTCCAATCGAGATGTGTTGGCTGTACAAAATTTCTACTACGTCTAGCATTTTAAAGATCTACCTTAAATTTCACTGAAGTGGATCCCCAATCAGTTAGTGCAGACGACTTTTCCAACCTCAAGTCAGCGATTCTCCAATTCGGTCTTCGTGATAAGACAGAAAAGGTTTATTTCTCAAACAACAATCGAGCTTGAATTGGTAATAAACCAAATTAAAATTAACTGCGCAACCGAATTTTTCAAACAGACCGGAAGTATAAGTAAAGTATGCTTTGCTGAGCAGCCGATGTCCAAAACTGTCCATTCACCGGTACGCATAAGGGATAGTTGAAAGATTAGATGGCATCAAAAGCTGCAGGTATTGTTGCGATTATTTTGACGAGCTAACCTTTGAATGCTGAATAAGACAGACAGATCAAAGTAGTTTTAATTCTCATGGAAGCGGGGGTTACTATTCCCTTGAACTCGTTCTATTTCGCATGCACTTGCGACTTTTAACCAATTTTCAATGAAGCATGAATGCTTTTAAATCCGGAGAAGTGGCTATGAGGTTTTCATAATTGCCACGGAAGTATTTGACATCTAACAAGTGGCAAGACAACAAGCTTTCAAGTGGGTATCAACACAATGTCTTTTTATCGATCGAAGCTTACTGGCAAAGGGGTTCTGATTTTTGACTGACTAGCGTCTTCTGATGGAAGCAACAGACACGTAACCAGAGAAAGAAACATTTAAAAGGCCGCACGGTGCACTTACCTCAAACATTTCATCTTTGCCTTCCAATTTCAAGTTGAATGTGAACAACAGTACGTCGATAAGAGTGGGTGGAATTGAAAGTTTGACCACCAACTTATTCTGCACCGGTACCTTTCCTTCTTGATGTGAGAACAATCCTAGTCCGTGAGTGAAGAAGGCAGGTTTCAAGAGAACACTATCTTGGAATTGCTAAAGTAATATGAGGCAGAGAGGGAAATAAAATGCTTGCTGTTGTCTGAGAACGGAAGAGCAAGACGGGTACAGGTGCCCGGCTCATTAAAAGAATGTGTGCGAGAAAATACAAGGAGCATCCTCTTTTGGAATTAAGTTTGAGTATGAGCGTGGTAAACCCCAGACGTCTAGTTGGCTACTAGGCGGAATTCGGTTTACAGTTGCATACATTTGTCCAGATTGACCGGATCGGGAACAGCGAAGTACTCCAACCATGGATGATGGTGTCAGCTGACTTCAGTGGTATGTTGTGTAAGGTGGTCTTGAATTTTTTCGCTTGCTAGATGAACTGACAAGTGATAACCCAGTAAGAGAATTTATTATGACTATATCTAGCCGGACAATCAACATATCGGGAGAAGTATGCTCCACGGTGCTGCAATTGACTGGAAACTGCATCGCTACTCTTGCAGTACAGCGCTTGGTAAGGAGGAACCATGGAAAGTGGCGGGGGAGAATTAGCTAAGTAAGCATTTACGAGAGATACGCAATGATGCACAGTTCCTGGTCACTGGAGCCAGCTGGGGTAGTGAAAGTCCAGTCTGCGGTTGAGAGTGGTGTTTATTACCTCGGGATCTAATGTTAATGCGTCTGCTCTAAGTGATTTAAGTCCCCGTAGTAACGAGCAGTTAAGCTAAAATAGTCCATGCCTTCACAACTTGTTTATTTAGGGAGACCAGCTGCGTTCTCTGCAAGGTTCCCATACATGTGGCAGAGGGATGATTCGTTATATCACAGTTGGTTGGGTAGTCAGCTCAGTTGTCTTCGCTCATCGTAACCCACTATGTTTTCTATAGTACCGAAAGTTTAAGAATCGCACTAAAGTTATTCAGAGGACCAGCAGAACTCACATTACTGATGAGTCCCACTCAAAAGCATGTAACAATACAGCCTATTGAGTTGTTGTTATAGTAGCAGTCTGACAGCATGTATTTTGGCGGAATTCTATTAGCTACACAAACTTGCATTGGTTTACCGGTAGTGACCATGTGACTTGAAAAATTGACAGGGTACTCGCGGATGTGACGTCACCGTCGAAAAGCACGTCGGGGAAGGCAAAAAGTAGCGAAACTAGAGCACAAATTTGTCAAGGTGTGGAGGATCAGGAGAATCAACCTTCACAGAGACAACTGAAACCAATGAAGGAGTACTTAGTGAGTTGAAGACATTTTAACAGCTATAGATCCTCTAAAGTGACAACCTAGTTCTCTAAGGGTTCGAAAGCCTGTGGAACCTTGGAGGAAGTCGCTGGCACACTGGCCACTCTCCCTGATATAGCAGCGACCAACACCGTTTTAAGCTAACAAACTTACAGCTTGGCATCATGTAAAGCATTGCATATCAATGCGTTTGTAGCATATTTCGAGTAACTTATGGATCTTTTGTACTGACCGCTTATTCCTTGATACCCAACTTACTTCATATGCTAATTTAGAGAACAGTTATGTCTGCATAGCCTTATTCTTTAACAGCTATACTTGTTTCGATCATCATCATTAGCATTATACACGTTAGCTAGAAGTGGGAAACACTTCAGCTACTCTGCCGCGATACATAAAGGAAAAGGAAAATAAATCCAACAGTTGCATGCCAGCTGAGCTACCAGCAACGGATGGGCATCGTTCCGGGAAGCTATTAGCCGGCTACTAGGCAAAAAGAAAAATTATTATGTACAATTATATTACGCTGCGAAATGAGATCGTGGTTGGAGAGGGGAGGCTAAAAGAGCAGGGGAGGAACAAAGAAACTCACAGCAGGAACGCCACGGAGGTAGGCTCCTTGCCATGTCAGCCACTGTATCTAGCCAAACGTGTTCATCGTCTTTCGGACCCCAACCAGGGAGCCGTGACGCTCCAACCGAGGCCAGCTTCGCAGTGATGTGCTTCATTCTTCTTGACCAACTCATCGCTTGGTCACCCCTCCTCTTCTTCCATCCACACCCACGGTGAGCAAACAACGCACCTCGCGGAAGTCGGTGCGCTGGCATGCCTAACACTTGGCCGAGCCATCGGATCCTGGTGGGTGAAATAACGGTGTTGAGCGGTTCAGTTCCTTTTCCTGTGCCGTACACAAGGCGTCGAACACACTGGCTGCTCACGCGGTGTTCCCACCAGATGAGAAACAAACTGTGAAGGCACCGATGGTCAAACCTAAGTAGCCTTTTCATGTCCGCCGATCTTAGGGGCCAGGTTTCGCAACCGTACAGTAAGGTCGAACGTACCGCTGCATTGTACACTCTACCCTTCAGCGCGACAGTAATGTCGCGCCGCCACCATAGGTGGCGAAGGTTAGCACTTCGAGCTTTTAATATACGGTTCGTGCTATCATCTTCAATCCCATGGAGGCTGATACAACTTCCCAGGTAATTGCATTTCTGAACGACTTCTAACAGATCCCCACCAATGGTCAGCGCAGGAGGCGATCCCTGCCAATCTTGGAGAAAAGCTTTGCATTTCAATGGTGCAAAGCAAAGCCCGAAGCGGCTGACAGCCAGTGCTAATCTGTCCACCGCGGCTTGTCAATTCTGGGAGCTGTCACAGATGAGGGCAGTGTCGTCAGCAAATTGTAAGGCAAGAAGTCGTTCTCCTGGGAGTAGCTCCACACCTTCCAAGTCATGTCCTGTGAACGCGATTGCCATGACTTCGTCAATAGCGCAGTTGAAGAGGGAAGGTGACAACGGGCATCCTTGTCTCACACCGCTGGAGATATTGAAGGGTGGTGACAGTTTGCCGTTAGCCCTCACTCTGCCCGTGCTGTGCGCATATAATGCTCGGATAATATTTACAAATTCCTCGGGCACACCTTTCCTGAGTAGACCATTCCAAAGGACACATCGATCAACCGAATCGAATGCACCATTGATATCGAGTAAGACGACAACGGTGGGCCGCCAATATGTGTGACGGTGCTCCAACATCTGACGGAAAGTGAAGGTGTGGTCAATGCAGCCACGACCTCGATGAAACCCGGCTTGTGCTTCACGAACATGACTTTCACGAGTGCCAGTCATTCTTTGAAGGATGACGGAAGTAAATAATTTGGAGGCGATGGAGATCAGACTGATTCCTCTGTGCTTGACGCCTTCCGAACGCGAGCCTCCTTTGAAGATGGGAACAAGAACGAGGCGGATCCAGTCGGTTTGGACAGTCTCCTGCTCCCCCATTACTAGTAATTCACGTAAATCATCAATAAGAGCACAGACTCCGAATTTGAAGAGGGCTGATTGAAGATCCTCTGGACCCGCGGCTTTGTTCAACTTCAACAGTCCGATCTCACGTTTGACTTCTGAACGAGAGTGTGGATCCAAAGGGACAGCCTACGGAGCAAGGCGATCACTGGCCGGCGAAGAATCGAACAACTCTGGACGATTAAATTGCTTTTTAAGATGCTCAGCCCAACGCTCCAAACGTTTTGACAAATTGTGGATAGGCTGTCACTCTCGTCGCGTATAGTTTCATTAACACCAGGTCTCCTGCTGCCCTTTTCCCGTATCAAACGTAATAACTTACGATGGTTACCAAGGGCAGAGTCCACTTCCAGCTCTGACGCACGGTGTGACCACCAAGATTTGCGGTCTTTCTTCAGGCTAGCACGGAGCGTTGGCCGGAGCTCTTTGCGAGTTTCATTGTGTCCGCTTCCAGCCGGAATATGCCAGCGAGCATCAGTAAGTTCCAAATACCGCGAAGAGCCCCAATGTCCATGTTGGCTATTAGACTTACCACATGAGGATTTGCCTGCTGCTAGTAAGGTCTGGTGAACATGTGACCAGTGGCCAACAATTGTCTCCAGTGAGCGCCTACACAGCTCGCATATCAGCGTACTATGATAGGCATTCAGAACAGCTGGCTTTGTCAGTTGGCTGGTGTCAATGCGCTCACAGCGTCGTCGTGAGCTTCCGCCAAAACGCATCCGCATGTCAGCACATACAAGTGCATGATCGGTGTCCACACATGTGCTTCAATTTGAGTGGCAGTTCTGGATGCAGCTTCTCCAGCGGTAACTGATTGCAAAGTGATCGATTTGCGTCCAAGATTCGTTCGATGCTGTTGGGCACCAAGTCACCCTCCTGCGGGTGCTGTGTCGGAACTTAGTGCCCGCAAGAAATAAGCGAGCATCTTCACGCAAATGAAGTAACCGCTCACCGTTATCATCACGGGAGCCTACATCTTGCTGACCGCCCAGATGCATTTCATGAGTGGACACCTTTCCAACTTGTGCGTTCATATCCCCCGCCAGCATAACCGTGTCCGTGCTTCTTCTGTAGCGAAGGAGCTGGGTCAGTTGACGGTAGAAGTCATTCTTAACCGGATCCTCGCTACAGTTTCTGGGCGCGTAGGCCGCGATGATGAATAGACACCTATTAGTCCCGCGCGACATCGAAGCTTTGAACGAGCCATCCAATCGGACCGCACACATCCGGCTACTGACTGGAATCCAACCAACCAGAACAGGTTCAGCCCGGGAACTCAGCGCAATGCCAACACCAGCTTGGCCGCTGCTCGAAGCTGCATCGTCCCCGGATAGGCGCAGTGAGAAAATACTGCTTGCGTCACCTGAAGGGGATCGCAGTGAGCGCAGAGCTCGAGTCTTACAGCCGGGTCTCCGATAAGTAGCAGATATCGGTCGAGAGGGTCTCCAATGTTCGGGCAAGTGCTGCCTGTTGACCGATCTGTAGTAGTGTGCGTACCTTAAGGCATGCCAATCTGAAGGAGGATCGAGGTCTTCAAATGGAAGCCGATGAACTGGAATAGACCGCTTGGTTGGACACGGGCTTGTCGACAGGAGAGGAGTGACGCTCCGCGTTCACGTGTGAGTTGAAATTAGAAGGTAAACGCCTAGCAAAGCATGTTGGGGAGGGCCAAGAATCGGGAGGTTGAAAGCTGAGGGAACAAAAGTGAAGTTGGTACGGGACGATGAGGGTGAAAAAGCGCAAGTGTGGGAATAAGAAGACGAGAAGG